CTGCTGCTGCTGGTTGCTGGTTGCTGGTGTTGCTGCTGTTGCTGCTGTTGCTGCTGCTGCTGCTGATCCTGCTGGCTGCTGCTGCTGCTGTTTGGCTGTTGCTGTTGCTACTTCCTGCTGGTTGATCCTGTTGCTTGAATACTGAAGGCTGTTGCTGCTGCTTTGCTGGCTGCTGTTGCTGCAGTGGTTGTGACAGTGGTTGTGCTGGGGCGGGCACTGTTGGTGCTTTCTTTTGCTGCCCTCAGTCTCCACCCTCTTTCAATTTCGTTTGCACATCCCCCCCCGAAACTGAACGGAAACCAATCGTTGTGGAGGACAAACTTGTGTGAGCTTTGGTGCTTTGCTGCTGCTGCTGCTGCTCCTGCTCCTGCTCCTGCTCAGAATCTTCCAACCTCTACCTTTCGTCCACCTCCGTCGCCTCAAGTCGGTGAATCCTGACCATTGCTTGCGGCTGGCTTTGTTCCTTGCAGGAGTTCTTCAACGTCAAGGAATTTGTTGGGACACGCGTGAAGTTTGATACAGGTGACGTTCAATGGCATCCTGGCCAGAAGCCGCGACCAACATCAGCGCAGCAGCCAGCCCGATTGGGCATGGCAGCGCGTGCGGGGGTTGGGAATGGCGGCTATGGCAAGGGCATGTGGGATGGCCGCAGGGGCTACAATTGGGGCCTGCAGCGCGGCATGATCCAGGGACCCCAACGGCAAAGGAGTAGTAAAGTTGTAAAGTGCTCATGGAGCTCGCCACATGTGCTCTTCATTCACTTGCCGCGATGGTGTGCATGCTAGAAGAGGTTTGCATGTAGAATGCTGGCCGTAAATCTCCAGCAATTATATACATTTTTGTGCAGAGAAGCGGTGGAGACAAAAGTGCTGTTTGATAAAGCGGCTTATCATGGCTTCATCCTGTGTTGCTTTATATATCTCATTTATCTTCAGGAGTTGCTGACTGCCCTGAGGTGTTTTGTCCGCAGGTTTTTGGCTAAAATTGTTCAGGAAGCGGAGGGCGCCAGAGAAAAGATGAGCGCCTTGCCAAACGGCACCGGCACCTGCACGTCCTTCAATCGGAAGGCAGGGGGTGGGCAAGATTTTAGTGATTTTGCTACAACAAACTATTGACATGAATTGAGCATCAATGTGCTTCATATAGGATGCGTGTGTTGACCCTTTGTCACTTTTGTGTAGCATGCGTGCTGAGTCCTGAGTACAATAATCATGGGGATATTTTTTGACCATTTTCTTCCTTTATCCGTTTGTATGTGACGTTGAGGGAGCGATCAACTCGTGCATGAACCGCGCAGGGCTTTGGCTTCATCGACATGAACGGGGTCACGGTGTTTGTTCACGTGCGGAATTGTGAGCCGAGGGGCAAGGCACCCAAGGTGGGCGATTTCCTCACTTTCCAGTATGAGCCGAACAAGAAAAACCCAGAACAGATGGAGGCGGGCGTTTTTGAGGTTGCCGGAGTTGCCTTGTGTGAGTGAATGGCGAGTACTGAGTAATGTGAAACACCCCAGCTCCAGCATGCTTTTGTATATTGACAATGCAAAGTGCTGGCTGGCTTCGAAACTGCAATTTGTGCGGCAAAGGTTGGCCCTCTGAAAAGGGTCACACTCAAATAGAGGCAAGGTCTCAAAACGATAGACCCCATTGCCATCAAGTGCAAAGTGGGAAAGGGGTTTGTATTTTTTGACGCGTCCAGGACTTTGGCGAAGCATAGTCAAAGATCCCGGCCCGGGAACGTTAATGAACACATAAACACCCAAAGAAATCTGTTTGCCAAAGCTTCCCAAAACAGTTCCTTGAAGTTCTGCAATGCTTCATAGACATGCTCCGGGAGAGTTCATGATTGCTAGCAACCGACAAGAACACATAATTATTTCCTTTGATGGGTCTGTGCACCTTGTGCATAGAAACCTGGAATTCTTTATCCAAAAGATTTTAGGGCATTCAAAGCTGCTGAAATGACTGCTTTGTGTTGCCGGCAAAGCAGGTGTTCTGTGTTCCGCTTTTGGGGGACAGAACGGGAAAGATCATAGTCATACCCAAGCCACAGTATTTAAAACTTCTGATGAACAACTTCCTTGTGCAGGCATATAACGTGAAGGGTTGCACTGGTGTGGATGAAGCATGGAGTGGCTCCTTTGCTGGCGCTGGTCCAGTTGAGGGCACTGGGGCCTACTCTGGGACTGTTATCAGCTTTGGTCCAAAGGGCTTCGGCTTCATCAGCATGGGGGAAGGCCAACCGGAGCTGTTCTTCAATGCGAAGGACTGTGTAGGTAGCAAGCCCGTGACCGGAGACACGGTGAAGTTCGATTTGACACCGAGCGACGCCAAGCCCGGACAGATGCAGGCCAGGTCCATCCAGGTTCAATCATTTTGAATCAAATGACCACGTCAACCCTATTTTCCAAGAAACACCATCTTCCAAGCTCCATGGGCGGGGCAAAGTGTTCGTTTGGAAGCAGAATTCGTTGCCTGGTCACCTCCTTGATATCCCACTGCGCAGGCGAGGAACGTGACCGGTGGAAGCCAGCCACTAGACTCTCCACATCCAGGGACCACGGCCTGGGGGGGCGACTGGGGTAGTATGGGGGATGTTACCAGTGCAATGTGGGAAGTGTTGGCCAAAGCCATGGGAAAAGGCTGGGGGGATGCCAGCAAAGGTATGGGAATGAGTGGCAAAGGCAAAGGTGACAAAGGTGGCAAAAGTGGCAAAGGCTACGGCCCACAATACTCTTCGGGCGGAAGCCAACTCGGCCAGAGCTCTCCCTATGGCTACAAGGCCAGCGACGGCCAGGACTGGCAGAATGAGCAGGGCTGGGGCCAGCACGGGTACTGGTAACTATACCACCATTCCTTTCCCGCAAGCTTGCCTCAGGGCTGCTACCACCAGCTGCATGCCATGGCGGGCTGCAGCCGCAGCAGGGAGCGCTTCATGGTACGTGATGCGCCACGAAACTATAAGCTGGTCCGGCGATCCTTTGGATCAGACGGATGGTTTCCGAGTGGATCCGAAGCAAGTACTGTTTGAAGCAATCAGAATTATGGAACTGAAACGTGACCTTGTCACTAGTAAGTACCGTAGCAACTACTGCCCAAATGTGTGGATCCACGGGTAAAATTCGAACATCCAATGAGAGGTGGTTTTGGAACTTGGTATAAAATTACAATTGGTTTGTTCTCTAGTGTTCCTTGTAGATCCAGAAAGACATCCACACAAAGGCTGTGGAACGGGTGCAGGATTGTTTGTGAGGTTCGTGGCAGGCATGGACAATTTGAAGGGATGACCTTCAACTTACGAACTGTAATTGCAAAATCATGACCCTGGGCTTCACGAGGGTGGATGTATGGGTGCAAAGACATGAGCCAATTCAATTCATTTCATGACCACCTCAACTGGTTGTCGATAGACGACGTGCCAGAGCAGTTCAAAGAACCCACAGGTCTGAACAGAAGAAATGGCCATGCCGCCTGCCAATCTTCAGCCAACGCCCAGTTCAGCTTTGCCAAAAACGGTCAAAGGGGCGGGTTCTGCTTGAAGCTAGTGGGAAGTCGGATTCGTATACCAAGCCATTCATAGACCTTTGCATTTGTGCCAGGGAAATGTAAACAATGCCAAGAGCTGTAGTGGTCCTTGCAGCACGATAGGGTCTGAGACATGCAGCTTGAGTCAAGTAGGTTGAAAAGCGAAAGAAGAGATCCAATCAGTTGATGCTTACTCTATATATGTATAGACTATATAATGTTGCAAAAAAGATGCACAAAGGGTTCATGAGGCCTGATATATTCCGACGACTCTTAGCAGACCGATTGCCATTTCGGCAGAAGCATGCGCGCCTTGAGGAGGTAGAGGCGTTGGAGAGACTTGGCCTTGACGCCATGGATTCAAGCTCATTGCCATCAGGAACCGGGTCCTGCACGTCCTTCAATGTTGCCAAGGCCAGGTTGGCTTTTGTTGCTGGTTTGTGCCTAGGGCAAAGGATTCCGAGAAGGCAAGTGTCTAACTACTACTGCAGAGTACATGACAGGAGGTAAAGAGACACTCTATACTGTTCAGGGTTGTGCTACCAGAGCAAATGACTGCCCTTGTCATCTTGATTATTGACGGTGCAGGGCTTTGGCTTCATCGACATGGGGGGGGGTGACGCTTTTCGTCCATTTCTCCGAGTGCGAACCTGGCAAGCAGCCAAAAGAGGGCGATATTTTGACCTTCGAGTATGAGCCCAGGAGATCCGGCTCATTTGGGGTGGGAGGGTGTCTTGAGTTGGAATATTGTTTAATTATGTCTAATCTTAAGTCTTCATCAATTGCACGGTGACTACGATAGGTGTTCTAATTTATTGTAGCAGATGCGGTTTGTTTACCTATGGTGGCAGGAAGAACAACCCGGAGCAGTATCAGGCCAAAAACGTGAAGGGATGCTCGGCAGATCGAATTGCTTGGGGTTCAACTTTCAATGGTCCAGTCGAGGGGACGGGGACATGCACCGGGAGATGCAAGAGCTTTGGTGCAAAGGGCTATGGCTTCATAGTCATGGACGATGGCACAGAGCTGTTCTTCAACGTGAAGGACTGTGTTGGCAGCAAGCCAGCAGCCGGTGATATTCTGAAGTTCGACATGGCGGACAGTCAGATGAAGCCAGGCTCAAAAGAGGCGTGGCGGTAGTGCTGAGAAGCACTATAAGTGTTCAGAACTGACTTGCCAGCGCAGGCTGATGACCTGTTGTTATACAATTCAGTTTCATGTCTCTGATAGGATTGATACGTTTTTGCGCTTCAGGCCAAAAACGTCACTGGTGGAAGTCAGCCGCTAGATATGCAGATGAAAGGAGGCTGGGGAATGTGGGGTGATGGTTGGGGAGGTAAGGGTGGGTATGGTCCATGGCAAGGTGATTGGGGCTGGGATGGTGGCAAAGGAGGCAAAGGCCAAGGCATGTGGGGAGGAATGAAGGGTGGCATGGGCGGCTATGGCGGCTATGGTATGAATGGTGGCATGGGCAGTTGTGGTATGGGCATGGGTGGCAGCGGCATGGGAGGAGGAGGAGGCATGGGTGATGGTGGTGGTGGTGGTGGTTGTATGGGCTGTGGTATGGATGGCGGTGGTATGGGCGGGCCATATGGCAAAGGCGGCTGCAGCAATTGGTAAACATCAAGTGCCTTTGGCCGCCTGAAATGTCAACTCAATGCCTTGCGAGCATCCGCACTCCTCAACTTCAGCGTGCTGCTCAGTATGCTGCTCAGTAGCCTGCTCAGTAGGAACTCCGTCACCAACGGCATGATTTCCCAAGTGGAATGGTTCAGCCAAACAATGGCCATTTGGTGAAATGTGGCTCCAAAGCCTCCAATATCTCAAATCATCTCCCCAAATTTGCCAATGTTTGTCTCACAGAGTGTTGGCAGAGCGCACATGGTCCGTATATAAAAGCAGCTGCCTGAGAGAGCGATCGGGTGCGAATGGATGTTTACATTGCGCCTCCAAATGACTCCGCAAGACTCCAAGTAGCGATGCCCTTTGTTACTAGTGGCTTCTTGTTCCTAGTATATAATATAGTAAGGCCAGGAACCCCTAGAAGCGTCCTTGCTCCTAGTAGCGATGCCAGGAGCCCCTAGTAGCGAACATTGTTCCGGTCATGAAATGACTCCCTTCGCACGCCACCGAGGTGAAGCCCTTCTACTGGCCCAAGCAGTGGAAGTGCAGGTCGCCGTGACGCCAAGGTCGGCGAATGTCCAACGGGGCCCCGTTTGGAGTTTTCGGAGCGGCAGTGTGCTGAGGCTTCGCCTCTATGTTTTGGAAGCCTCCAGGAAAGGCCAAGAAACGCTGATTGAGCAGGACCGTTGCGGCCCGTCTTCCGGTCTTCCGTTCTTTGGAGCTCATGCACACGGCTCGGTGGGCAGGTCAGGTTGAGGAAACCTTCTCGCAAGTTCTTGTAGTTTTCGTTGTTCTGGAATTTTCTGGGATGCCCGTTGCAAAATCCATAGGCTTCCCTTTCTTTTCTCACAGGCAGTTGCCCATGGAGCAGCTGCGGGTTGCGAGCATCAGAAGCAAGGATTGCCAAATCCCCAGAGTGCCTCAAGCAATCCTGGCTGTTCAGCTGGGGGACATCGTGTAGTTACGCATATGACGCATATATATATATATATAAGTAGTTCCCGGGCAAGCCGGCGGCGGAAGTTTCCTATAAGAACAAATTGACCTATAGGAGTGTCCACGTTCTCTCCAACATGCGCGTCCTCCAGTCAAACGCACGCGCTCCGGACTTTTGACCCACGGGATTCCACGTGTGTAAGGTGTGTGCCCCCTGCAGGATCAGCAGCTCACAACAGCGTACTGGGTTGTATCTTTGCCACGACAAGAGGGGTGTATGACGAGTGGTGTATGATGAGTGGTGTATGACGAGTAGTGTATGATGAGTGGTGTATGCTGAGTGGTGTATGATGAGTGGTGTATTGACCAGCAGTTGAATGTCCTGTCCTGCATAAATGCAACCAAATACTATCAGTATGAACTGTGCCAAACCTGCACGCCGCGAGAGATGACTCAGCAGCGAGAGATGACTCAGCCGCGAGAGATGGCTATAGCGAGAGCTGACTCAGCAGCGAGAGATAATTGAGCAGCGAGAGATGACTCACAGCAGCGAGAGCTGACTCAGCAGCGAGAGATGACTCCTCCGCGTACTACACTTGTACTACAAAGTGGCCAGTTCTCAGCTTCCAGCTCCACAGGTTGTTCCGCGTGCTAAAGTTGTACTAGAGTTACTAGGAAGTCGCCAGTCAGTTCTCATCTTCCAGCTCCCCAGTTGCTCCGCGTAAAGTTGTACTTGAAAGTCGCCAGTTCTCAGCTTCCAGCTCTACAGATTGCTCCCCGTACTAAAGTTGTACTAGAAAGTCGCCCGCGTACTAAAGTTGTACTACACAGTCGCCCGTTCTCAGCTTCCAGCTCTACAGATTGCTCCGCGTACTAAAGTTGTACTAGGAAGTCGCCAGTTCTCAGCTTCCAGCTCTACAGATTGCTCCGCGTACTAAACTTGTACTAGAAAGTCGCCAGTTCTCAGCTTCCAGCTCCACAGATACTCCGCGTACTAAAGTTGTACTACAAAGTCGCCAGTTCTCATCGTCCAGCTCGCCAGCCAGTTCTCAGCTTCCAGCTCTACAGATTGCTCCACGTACTAAAGTTGTACTAGAAAGTCGCCAGTTCTCAGCTTCCAGCTCTACAGATTGCTCCGCGTACTAGAGTTGCACTAGAAAGTCGCCAGTTCTCAGCTTCCAGCTCTACAGATTGCTCCGCGTACTAGAGTTGTACTAGAAAGTCGCCAGTTCTCAGCTTCCAGCTCCACAGATACTCCGCGTACTAAAGTTGTACTACAAAGTCGCCAGTTCTCATCGTCCAGCTCGCCAGATACTCCGCGTACTAAAGTTGTACTACAAAGTCGCCAGTTCTCAGCTTCCAGCTCCCCAGATGCTGTGCCTGCCACGAAATCTGCACATGGAGGTTCACAAAGTGCTGTGCCTGCCACGAAGTCTGCGCATGGAGGTTCACAAAGTGCTGTGCCTGCGAAGAAATCTACACATGGAGGTGCGCAAAGTGCTGTGCCTGCCACGAAATCTGCACATGGAGGTTCACAAAGTGCTGCGCCTGCCACGAAATCTGCACATGGAGGTGCACAAAGTGCTGCGCCTGCCACGAAATCTGCACATGGAGGTTCACAAAGTGCTGCACCTGCCACGAAATCTGCACATGGAGGTTCCCAAAGTGCTGTGCCTGCCAGGAAATCTGCACATGGAGGTGCACAAAGTGCTGCACCTGCCACGAAATCTGCACATGGAGGTTCACAAAGTGCTGCGCCTGCCAGGAAATCTGCGCATGGAGGTACACAAAGTGCTGCGCCTGCCACGAAATCTGCGCATGGAGGTTCACAAAGTGCTGCACCTGCCACGAATCTGCACTTCAAGAAACAAGTGAAAACTCTAATCCCAATGGACGGACGATTCCGAGCATGATCCGAGCATGACCCGAGACCGTCTTGCAACCGTCGTTCCGCAGACCTTGACTTGCCAGCTTCGGAGCCACCGGTTCCATTGAAAAATACAGCATTTCGTGCCTTTGCTATCTCTCCACAACCCATTTTGTCTTGCGCCTGCCACAAAATCTGCACATGGAGGTTCACAAAGTGTTGTGCCTGGCACGAAATCTGCACATGGAGGTTCACAAAGTGCTGCACCTGCCACGA